GACAGCTGGTTTAAAGGAGCAGAACGTTTCTCATAGCAGTAGATTAAATCAGCCCTGCTGAGGGTTTAACTCATTCCAAGGGATTAGGAGCCTTTTTTTTTTTTCAAACCAGGTCTGTCAGAGTCAAATAGAAAACAAAGATTGATGTTTTTGGTATCCAGCAGAGCAGTGTGGAATCAGTGAAACAATCATCAGACTGGGTGAGTTCTTTAGAGGAAATATTTCCTATAAGGTTATTTTAGAGAGTTAAGACTTAGTGAGGCATGAAAACATCAGACTAAAGAGCCCACAGAAATTATCAGCATTGAATATACCTTATCCGGGTAACAAAACTTTCTAAATCCAAAGAAAGGCATTAGTAGACAGATTGTAATAAAAAATAGTCTCACCGGAGACTTCCTCATCACATACTATGGCATATGAGTGACAGAATAATCTCTGCTCTGTTTCTTAAGAGTGACTCTGGAAAGGATAAATCAATCAGAAGCCTTATGCAGATTTATATTACATGTAACATACAGGTTTAGGAGTCAAATGTACACTTAAGTTATAGTGGGTTGGAGCTGATATAACTCCACTGACCTTGATGGATCTACCTAAGTAGAAATGAAAGCATAATTTGATCTCACATGGGGGGAAAAAAATCAAGATTTTCCAGCCCCAGCTGCCAAGCCTGTAAAATCAGCGCTTTAATAACCCTTTTTGTTACTCACCAATCCAAGGCTCTGTTGATTCTTATTGATGATTAATTGATGTTCCTTTACCAGCTTGCTGCCTGTTCACACTGCTATCTTGTTTCAAGCTCAGCCGCCTCCAGTGCATAGTCCATGGCACAGCAAAAGCACCTGAACTTTACAAAGAAGCTGGGGAGCAGAGGTGGAGTCAGCATGGTGTGATGTCATTCAGAGACAGCCTCCATTCATAAAAACAGCACAAGCTGTTAGCAAACCATCTGTTCTTCTTATTTATGTTTCATCCTCAGCTTTTAAATCAGTTCCAAAGGCTATATGAGATTTGCAGGGAACAGGTGACATCTAGTGGCAAATATATTTATTATCTGGATTCAAATACCTGCTCGGCATGTACTGTGAAATAAGAAACTGGCCATTGATCATGGTTGTGAAATAAGTACTGATCTTTGCATTAAATTATATGTTATAAGAGTCAATATTACTCTGCTTTCCTGTAAAGCATTTTATTTGAGGAGCTCAAAGCACCTGATTGAGATGAATGAATCCTCTCAAGATACCTCAACAGGTAGCTGCTCTATGGTTCTCTCTCTTTAATAGAGGAGGAAATTTAGATACAAAGATGCTAAGATTCAGATTTTGAAGGTAGTTTAGCACTGCCGCATTCAGTGTTGCAAGGCCTAAGCCAATTAGATAGCTAAATCCCATTAAAAAAAGACAGCCTAAATCTCATTGAAAATCAATGGGAGTGAACTCCTAAATCACTTCTGAAAACAAAGTTTAGCAATCTAATTGATTTTCTTCTTACAGAGGTGAGAGGACCTAAACTCCTTTACAAATAAGGTAATTTGTCCAAGATCACATGATAGCAGAGATGGAAAAGGAATCTAGCAACATTTATCTCAAGGACTATCTGTACTGCATTTGGTAGAAGGAGCTGACTTTTCCTTCAGACACTGTATGATGTGACATGAAGCTGCAAGATGTGCACGTATGTAAGGAAGCACTTGGTAGAACATAAGCTGCTCTTGAGGATTCTCTGTAGAGATAGTATTAGGTGATGTTTTCAGGGGATGAATGCAAAGTTTCACTTTGCTTTGCTGCTTGGAACAGGACCGCATCCTGGCCTTAGAGAAAAGTAGTTCTTCATGTCAGTCTGAAGTCAGGCAGAAGGCAGTGCAACACGGCACCCTAGGCCATTTGTACACACCACAAAATTGGCCTTTAAAGCAGCTTAATGCCCTTTTGCACTGCTTTAATGGTGCAGCTATTTGCATGTGTCGGTGGCATAATGCACTTTAATGGTGGGCTGTTTGCATGTGTTGGCAACATAATGCGCATGAAATGACTTTGGGACACAGCAAAATGAAACGTCTCTGGGGTGGCTTAGTTTGCCGTGGAGGGAAGCACTGGGCCCCATGCATCTCAGGGGGAAGGCAGCCTGTACAGGCAGCATGGTGGTGGCCTGTGCAGGCAGGCTCCACTGAAGGGGAAAAAAAAAAATCAGTGAGCTTGATCTTTTTTTTTTTGTCTCCCTGGGGCCTGCCTGCCTGAGGGCCCAGTGCTTCCCTCTGCAGCTGCGGTGCCCTCTGGGACTGCTCGGGCTGGTGCTTGCAGGCGGGTGCCTCTTGGGGCACGCCAGTGCTGTCACAGAGGGAAGCACCAGCCCCCGCCTCGCCCCGCAGCTCAGGGCGTCAGCAGCTCACCATCCCCTCCCTGCCACTGGAGAGGCAGGTAAGAGCTGGGCCCAACCTTTGTGTAAATGCCATGGGGGTGTACTTCACCCTAAATTGAAGCAGAGTTTTTAAAGACCCATCGCTTAAATTTAGGGAGAATTAAACTGAAGCAAACCCCCATGGCGTGTACAAACATCTTTAGAAACTAACCCGTTCAGTGGCATAAGTTTTTGTAGGTGACAGCCTACCATCTGCTGAAATAGGCTGTTAGGCTCTAAAGTGCCACCCTGACGGGCCTTCTGCCATTCGTACCTTGTGCTGGTTCTGTGGCTTTCACTCTTGCATGTGTAATATTCTCATTATTCCAGTTTCCCCAAACTACAGCAGAGAGGGAAGAGGGCCTTCTGGAAAAGCCTGCAATCTGCAGGAACCTCACCTCTTGAGAAGTGGTTGGATGCTGGGCACAATTATGGAAGCTCATGATACTGTGATCATGAGAGCAGTTAGTTTATGGAAGGTAACACTGTGCCTCATCTTCATAGATTAGAAAGGCTGTTTCTATTACAGACCCAGGGCCATGACCCCCAGGTAAGACTCTATTATTAATCTGCTGGTATCTGGTGAGCTGGTGAGCTGAGCTGAGAGGGGTATAGGGGAGGACCTAGCTGGAAAAGCAATAGACCCAATTGGAAAGGATGACAAGAGCAGGAAACTGCTCATTTGGATGTGGAAGTGATGCGGCCAGGAAGACATAACTACTGCAGCTTTTGATCTGGATGATTTATTTACTTGTTTCCTTTGGAGGGGATATCCTAAATTCTTGCTGTAGGGCTGCTGGGGAGGAGAACGCGTGGAGCTTTGCGTACATCCTGCTCCCTTCCTGAGTGCATCTAAGGGTTCAAAAATAGATCAGACAGGTATAAAAGGACCTGAAGATCAGTTCAAGATGATTTTGAGGAGTGGGTTGGCTTGGGCATATTGCGCACTGACTTCCCATTCTGCATGTTAAGAGGAGCACCCTGTCATCTGAGGGTGGCAGGCTGTTCGAATCAGAGCCCCTTGCGAGGCAGAGTGAAATTCTCCTGCAGACTTGCTCCTCTGAGGGATGCTGATGACATCTGGTGGCAATACCATCCACATAACCAATGTGTTGTTTTTACTTAGAAAACACAGAGGTTTGTGGCTAGAAGATCTTGCTCCTGCTCAGGGTCATACCAATCATCATATTTGTGGTAAGGAGAGATTTTTTTCCCTTTAGCTCAGACTGGCGTGAATGGTTTGTTTTCCTTTGTAGTGTGGGGCATGGCCCTCTTTCTAGGATCCTCTGGACAGACATATATTAACCAATTATTTTTCCATCATTTTGATGGCAGGAATTGGCAGTGTTGTCACCCCTGCTTTTACCTTTAGCATGTTATAGGGTGTTCCAGACGTTCCTGCTTTTGTGCCTTGTAATTGTGCATAAGGGTATAAAGTGGCAATTTGACTTGATAAATGACTACTCGCAAATGCAGGAGACTGGACTCAGTGGCCAACGAGGTCCTTTCCAGTTGTGTGCTCCTATGTATAGGGTGAGGACCAGGAGTTCTGTCTAAGCTATGAAGCTAAACTCAAAACTCATACTTGATTTTCTCCATTTAATGCAATGAGCTGAACTTTTAGCTTTGTTTCTATCACTGAGAAACTGATGTACTAGACTGTGAAGGACCACACTTCATAATTCTGGCCCCATAAATGGTTCCCTGGGGCATTAGAAAAGTCTATGAAAATTGCAAACACAAATCCAAACACCTAGATTCCATGCACTTCCTATCAAATGGGCACCCTTACGGTGTGACATATTCAGTAGAAGGGTTTGTGTTGTTCTGGAGTAAAAATTCAGATGAAGGAATATAAAAGCCCAATAAATGTATGAATGGGATTAAATGATGTGGTAAACTGCAATAGGAGACAAGTTGATGACCTAGGTGACCCCTTCCACTTCTATGTTTATGTTCCTGTTCTTCACTAAAACCTGGAAGTTTCAACAAAAAATACCAAGTATTAATCTGCATGTTTTGCAAAACTAAGAACATCAGAGAGACTTCAGATGAGAGACATGTCGCAGTAATAACACCAGTACCACCTGGAGCTGGACTTTAAAATGCCCAGGAAATCAGCTGCTCTAAGGGCAAAGTGCTTCATTCAGCACCTGCTGATGTCAGTAGGAACTATCCTGCTGACTTCAGTGAGCACTGATATTCTTCTGCCAAAGGCTGTATTTCAGATAAATGGCTGATATGAATTGGGGTTTACTGGGTAAGTGAACCTGCATAATTTCTGAGTCTGGGACAAATAGACCTCCAAAAGGGGACACAATTTAGCTATAGGGTGTGGTGGAAGGAACAATCATTCTTGGTTGCCAAAAACATTTTATGCAACTTATGGGTGTATGCACAATTTTATTAGGAATACTTTTGACCTTTTATTCCCTTGGTTCACTTTATTTTCTTCATCATTAAAAAATAACCAATGTTTAAAAATATTTAACCAGTCCTTGGATTGAAGAGTAAAGCATTGTATGCATTTAGATCTTGGTATGAAACAGCAATGTGACTGCTTTTTAGGCCATCTTCTTGTTAGTTCTCCCACACAGCACTTGGCATGAGTATAATCACGTCTTGGATAGGAGATCATCCAAAGGCTGGCAAAATATGATTTAAGTAGTCACAGTTGGTATTTCAAAATTGCTCCTGCAGTTTCAAATATCAACAGCACTTCTCTTACTTGCTGCCCTAAGGTATTTTTAGAATCACTGTGAATTAATAAACAGCTGAGACAAAGGTGGATGCATATTGCTAGTGGATCAAAAGGTTACCATATATTTGTAAAATCTTTTGATCCATAGGAACAGAAAGAGCCATATATGTTTGTGATGTTATTGGTACTTTTAAAATATTGCTCTGCAGTGTTTGTGTTTAGTTCAGTTACTTTTGTTATGATGCCAGCCCTGGTATCATGGAATATGTAGTGTTCTCATGAACTGAAAATAAATAGGCAGCTTTGGACTTGGTCAGTAAGCACAGTGCTCGAGAGACAGGAGGCTGGGAGGTAGCCCTGGCTCTGCCACTGACTTTCTGTGACCCTGAATAAGTCATTTTCCACCTTGGCATCCCTGTTTCCATTCTTCTAAAATGGGAAAAATCATAGTGGTCCTGTTTGGCAAAGCATGTGATCCATGCATGAAAGCGCAATGTAAGTTAAAATTGCCATATTTTCTCACATACAGCAAGCAACTTTTTCCAAAACAAAAAAAAGGGGGTGTTGGAAATTGGTGTGCATATAGTCATGATAGATTGACACTACTTTCCCTTCTTCTTGCATTGCTCTCAATGATTTCTGATTCAAATGCAGGAATAATTGTTCTCACCTACAGAGCCACAAAATGCCCATTTTTTCTGTAACAGCCTGTCACTAATAGCTACAACCACCAGGGGTCAAAACCTTCCCAAA